GAGGACACCTTCGCCAGGGACGCCGCGAGGCCGGCCAGCGCGGCGGGCCGTGGCCAGCCCGGCGCGCGGACGTCGAGGGCAGCAGGGGTTTCCTCGGAGCCACGGCTGGACGCAGCTCGAAAAACTCCACCTGCACTGTCGACGGCGGCTTTCTCGTGGCTCTCCAGAAGTGCCTCCGAGTGCAACAGCAGCATCAAGGGTGCCGCGCCGGTCGGTGCACGGACTACGAAGGCGCGGAGCTCCGCGGGCGCAGCTTCGCCCCGTTCTACGGCAGCTTTCTCCTGGCTCTCTGGCCGGCCGCAGGCCTCCGGGGGCGGGCCGCTGGCGCTGGCTTTGGCTCCCCCTCCGCCTCGAGGCCGGCAGGGTGGCCGAGGCAGGCTCGCGAGGGCCCGCTCAGACGATCAGATTGCGTGCGAGGAGTTCGAAACGTTCCTCTGCTCTGCACGCGCGGCGTACTCGCACGAGGACCGGGCCCTTCCCGCAGCCCAGAAAGCGGAGATGGACGGGCTGACGGATCAGATGCATCAGTGGCTGGACTCCTCGAGGGCCGGTGGCCGGGCCCCCACTCGAGCAGCCGTCAATGAGAAGCGCATCGAGTACGACGCGGCGCTCACCAGGTGTACACTTGCTCACCCGCTCCGGGGAGACAGCTATGCCTGCCCCTGCGGCTGGCGGCCGAGCCCGGGCGCGGACTGGAAGACCAGCAACGACCTTGCACGGTCACATTGGTCAGCGTGCCAGCCTGGGCGGCGGTGGCCCCGGCTGCCGGCGGAGAAGAAAAGAGCCCTACTCACCAAGTATCGGGGCAACCACGTGGCCGGCTGCAGCGCAGCCGCCTGGGCGAAGTACGACGGGCGCATGGGCACCATGACGGGCGATTTCAAGGCGAAGTGTTGCGACCTCGACCGCACGGACCAGCAGTGCACCAAGAACACGATCGGCTGCAAGCTCACGGCCTTCAAGTGCACGCGGTGCGACGCATACGTCCAAAGGAACAGGGTCTGGGAAAGGCCGTGCCCTGCGGCGGGCAAGAGGCCGCTCGGGCAGAAGAAAGGCGGCGGGCCCTTGGACCTCCCCACGCTGCGGGAGTGGCGGGCTGCAGCCAAGGGCTTGTCTGGGCAAGCCGCCAAGGACAACGTGGCCGGGCAGGCCGCCAAGTCTAACGCAAAGAACCTGGCGTGGCAGCGCAAGCGGAAGCTCGACCGCACGGACGCGGAGAGGGCCGAGGACAACCGCAAGCGGAGGCCCGCGGCCAGGGCGGCGGCCAGCGGGGCTGCCACAGCGGCCGGCTGCTGACAAACGGCCGGCCGGCGCGTCCACTCCAGCAGGCGCGTCGGCCACTGGCCGTGGCACCACGCCACGCGCGTGGGGGAGGCGTCCAATCCTGGACCTCCCCAAGCAGGGAGGCCGCGGCAGGCTTCCGACGGACAGCTCCGAGTGTGGTCGTGCAACGTCAACGGCCTCAAAGACCAAGGCCCGGACCGCCGCCAGCAAGGCAGTGTGAACACGGGAAAATGGGACAGGGTTTTGGGCCAGCTCGCCGAGCATCGGGCCCAGGTGTGCGCGCTGCAGGAGACGCACATGGACACTTTCAGCTCCAGACGCTTCGTGGCGCAGGCCAGGGCGGGGGGCTTCGACAGCTGCTACACGTCCGCGGGCACAAACAGCTCGGCTGGGGTGGCGCTCCTTGGCCCGCCAGAGCTCCGCGAGGACCCCTGGGCGTGGGGCGGCAGGCACCAAGGCCGAGTGGTCTCTGGAATCCTCAGCGTCCGGGGCCAGGCCGACGTCTTGATCGTCGTCGTCTACGGAGACGTCAACAGCCAGGACAACCGCGCAAGCCTCTACGACGACGTGGCCGCGCGAGCCGCCCAGGCAGGACTGCCGACGATCGTTGTGGGGGATTTCAACTGCGAGCCCTGCGACTCCGAGCTCTTCGCTTTCCGCGACATGAACTACTGCCACGAGATGCTGGACATTCAGGACATTACCACCCACGGGGAGAGGCTCCTGGACTTCGCCTGCTTGCAGCAGCTGGAGGCCCAGACCTTCGCCACGGACACGGCCATTAGCGACCACGACGCGATCGTTTTTGAGCTCTGGCGGGAGCTCCGGACGCAGGTGCAGACCGTGGTCAAGTTCGACGAGCTCAACCCGCCGCTCGCGACGGAGGACTGGGACGAGACCTTCTCCCAGGCCATGGACAAGCGCAGAGACGAGTGGGACGCTGCAGCGGCCCGCCAGGATGTGGAAGCTATGTGGGCCCTCTGGTGCGACATGCTCGAGGACTCCGCCGGCGTCCCGGGCAACAGGCATCGGCGCAAACACGGCACCGTGCTCAAGCGCTGGGAACGGGTCTGCAAGGGCCCAGACGGACAGCGGCAGACGGTGGTCGAGAGACGTCTCCACAGGCTGCTCCGGCGTGTCCACCACGCCCTCGAAGGGCCTCGGGCCGGCTCCGACGGCCACTCCCTCTTTGGCAATATCCGCAGCGGGGTACAGAGCCTCGTCGACGACGGCGTCCTTGGCGAGGGCACCGCGGCCGACGGCGAGGATTTGGCAGCGCTCCGCACAACGATCCTCGCGAAGCTCCAGCAGCTGGCCGAGGAGAACAAGCCGCGCCGGCTCGCGGCGTGGAGGGAGCGGCAGCAGGCTGGAGACCTCAAGGCAACTTTCCGGCACGTGGCCGACAGGCCCCCGCTCTCTGTGAAGGCGGCCTCAGACCAGCGCGGCCGGCCCACGGCCGATCCCAAGGCCATCGTCGCGGCAGCTGTGCGACAGTGGAAGAAGAAGCAGCACCCGCGTCTGGAGCAGCACCAGATCGGCGACTACCTCCGGGAGGTGAGGGACGTTGTCGAGCACGTGGAGCCGCCGGACATTGGCTGGATGTTCGAGGCGCCGGAGCTCCGGGCCGCCCTCCGAAAGACCGCCGGCACTGCGGCGGGCCCCGGGCAAATCAAGGCAGAGCAGCTCGCACAGGCCCCTGGCGTCGTGCTGGACCTCCTGGCAGACCTGGCAAACGCCATCAGAGACACGGGGACTTGGCCCGCGGCCCTCAAGGCGCAGGAGGTGACCATGATCCCAAAGACCAGTGACAAGCCCGACTTGCGGCCTATTGGCGTCGCCCAGTCTGTCGCCCGGGCCATCAGCAGGGTCGCTGTCAGCAAGTACAAGCAGTGGGCCAGCCAGGTCCAGCCCACGGATGCGCACGAGATCCTGCTCACGGTGGACCTCCCTATCGAAAAGGCCGCCCACGAGGGCACCCCGCTGCACATTCGCCAGAGCGACCTCTCGAACTGCTTCACGCGGATCCAGCCGGAGCTCGTGGTCGAGGTTGCCGTGCTCTTCGGCATGCACCGAAAGGACGCAGTGCTCCTCTTCATGAACAATGTCGGCCGCGACACGGTGGTCAAGGTGAGCGGCTACGCCAGCGACTCGCTCCTGGTGCTGCGCGGCCTGGCACAAGGCGACCCCGCCTCTCCGCTCGGCGCAGCTATCCTGGCGGGCGCCCATGCGCGCAAGGTCTGCTCCGTCTTCGATGTGGGAATGGGCACCTACGTGGACGACCGGACCACCTACGCCAACGACAGGGACACCCTGGACGGCGCCGAAGCCCTGCTCAGGCGCCTGGACGAGCTGAGCGGCCAGAAGGAGGACGACAGCAAGCAGGACAGGGCGGCGGTGAACGTCGCCGGCGGCCAGCACAAGGACCACCTCGACTTGCTCGGCGTGCGGCTGGATCTCACTGGCCGGAAGCCGCCAGCGGCCGCCCCGCGTGCCAGGAAGCGGGTGGCCAACCTGCTCGACAAGCTGCGTCGGCTGCGCACCGTGGCCAAGGCAGCGCGCCTCGGGCGCAGGGCAAGGAAGCGGGTCGTCATGGCCCTGGCGGGCAGCATTCGGTGGGACGCGCCGTGGTGCTCGTTCCCCAAGGAGACCGTGACCCGCGTCCGGTCTGCCATGGAGTTGGCACTGGAAAGCAGACGCAGGCGCGCAGCCTGGCGCCACAAGGGCGCGGCATGGTGCATGGAGGACAAGGCCTGGAAGTTCGAGCCCGACGGCCTCGCGCTCTCCAGCACCGTGAGCATGCTCAGACGCGTCGCCCGCACCCACTTGGGGCCCGCGGTGGAGGCGCGGTGGGACCACTGCGACGGCAGCGGCCTGCGCTGGCTGGACCGGGTCCGCGGGGTCCTGGAGACCATGGGCTGGCACCCCGGCCCGTCGCCCTTCGAGGTCGCCTTCGGCGGTAACGGCTTCCACCTCGCGGAGGTGTCAAAGAGCTTTCTGGGCCACTGCGTTCGCGAGACGTGGCGGGCCCACATGATGCGGACCTGCAGAATAACCGCCAGGAAGGTGCCGGTCGAGGTGCCGAGCTTGGACGTCAAGACGTTGCGGCGCTTCGTGGAGGAGGCGCCGACGGCCGCGGAGCAGAGGTGGCGGTGGCGATGCTGTGTTGGCGCCGAGCCTTCTCCAGACCGCCTCAGCCACGTCACGGACGAAGTGGCGCATGACTGCCCCATCTGCCACACTGCTGCGACCACGTGGCAGTTGATGTGGCGGTGCGACGCCACCGAGCATGAGCGGCAGCGCCGGGGCCTCCACGAGGCCACCATCGGCAGGCATCTGCCTCAGCACGAACGGTCTGCCCTTCTTCTCAATGGGTGGACGAGGGCCGAATGGGACCCCCCTGACGGCCAGTCGCATGATGCGCACCGCGCGGCCGCCAAGGGCCAGGGGAAGCTCGCCTTGAACATCCTGCGCTTGAAGGACCGGGTCCTGAAGCGCTACTGGGACATCTTCGTGGGCATCGCGCCGGAAGCGGGCCACGGCAGCAACCAGGCCGCGAGGCAGGGCAGACCACTGCCACGAGCAGGCCCTCCCTCCTCCTCCCCCCTCCTGACTGCACGAGGAGGACGTCGAGGAGGTCGAGGAGGAGGGCGAGGACGACGAGGACGAGGCGGAGGAGGCAGGGCGGCGCTGCCGGCCCTCTCCCGTCCCGACACGAGCAACCAGACGCCGGCCGGGCTGGCGAACCAGGACATCCCGCAGCACGCCGGGGACAGGGACATCTCGCAGCACGCCGCGGCGGCAGCTGCGCCGGCCGACCGGCCACGAGCACCTTCCTCTCCCCCCCTCCTCCCATCCAGCCTGCAGGATGAGGATTTTCGTGGAAGGCGTGGACGTGGACGCGGAGGACGAGGAGCAGCAGGAGGCAGAGGCAGCGCGTCGCCGTCGCCGCCTTTCTCTTGGCTCAGCGCAGAACAGCAGCTTCAGCCACAAGGCGCCTAGCGGAAGCATGATGGAACGTAAGACTTTGTCATCTTGGTTCATCGACACAGCTTCCCTGACCACGAAGAACACCTTCCTGGACTGCGAGTCCCCCTGGACGGAGCCCGTGGAGCTGCCCCGGCGGCCCAGCTCCGACCCCGGCGCCTCCAACGGGACCAGCGCCGACACGGACCAGACCGAGTCCTCCGTGGGGTCTCGTGCGGTGGGCGCCCGCGATTCGAGCGGCGCAAGCGAGGACGAAGACGCAGCGCCGCGCCAAGCAGCGCAGGGACTCGAAGGCGATGAAGACCAGGGCCGCCCTCCGCAACTCCTCCTCCGGCGCGAGCCTGAACTCGGAGCCGGACGACCTGTCGCTGGGCCAGGCCGTTGCCGCTGTCAAGCTGGCGGCTCACGACGCTAAGGACGGCGCCCAGCCGCGGACGCAGTCCACGAAGATCTCGCTATGAGGGCGAGGGGGATGAGGGAGGTTGTGATGTGTGGGCGGGGGGGGGAATGCTGATTTGCATACCGTAGACGTTTGTGCACTCTCACAAGGAAGCGACAGGCGAGGATAGCCAGTTTTCTTAGTAATTTAATTTCGCCCACGGCGCCGTCTCCTCAATCATGTTATTGTCAGAGGTTGTCAGCCACCTGTGTTGCCCTCTGCCTGAGTCCAGCAGAGGTTGCGCCGTGGCCGTCTGCTGGTAAAGATGAACATCATGAAAGGGAACACAAACAAGTACCCGTGCGCTCCAGTGCATATACATGCAACGGCGCACCAGGCTCGGGGGCAACGGGCTGGAACCACGGCCGCAAATGTGAGTCCCGGGGCCCGGGCCCGCCTCTGGGAGGCCTAAGATCGCCCCGGGGAGCCCTCAGACAGCAATCCCGGCGGCCCCAGACGGTCTCGAGACACCCCCAAGATGCCGTCCAGGGGTCTCTGGCGACGCACCATGCGTTTGAAACTGCCCTGGAGGCCCCCAATACGCCCCAAGAGGCCTTTAAGATGCCGCCCAAGAGCGCCCCGAGAGGGCAACATCGTTGATTGACATTGCTTTTGTGTAAAACATGTTTGTTTGCATTCTCGCTGTTTCGTGTTTCCGCCGCTAAAGCCCAGCCCAAGAGGCTTCCAAAACCGCTCCAAGACGGCCCGAGAGGCCCCCAAGAGGGCCCCACGACGGCCAGACGCCCCCAGAGCCGCCCAAGACAGCGCGAGAGGGTCCCAAGAAGGCCCCAAGAAGGGCCCAAAGAGAGGGAACGCGAACTGACAAATCAGGCTCTCCGCCCCAAGATGCTTCCAAGAGGCCCCAAAAGGCCCCCAAGAAGCCGCCAAGAGTCCCCAAGAGGCCCCAAGAGGCCCCAAGAGGCCCCCAAGAAGCCCAAAAGAGGCTCCAATAGGCCCCAAGACAGCACCCAAAAGGCTTCACACCTCTTTTTAAGAGGCCCCCGAAGACATGCCAAGAAGGTCCCATGACGACTTCAAGAAGCAGTCCAGGATGCTCCGAGGAGGCCCCAAGAGGCCCCCAAGAGAGCCCCAGAGGCCCCCAAGGGGCCCCCAAGCGGCCTCAAACAGCATTCAGGAGGCTGGAAAGAGGTCCCAAGAGCCCAGCGGTCCAGGCGGGGGCCGAACGAACATTTCCAGCCCTGGGCTCCCGGAAGCCCAGCAGGAACCCCCACGTAACTCGCAAGACCCCCCCCCCCCGACGCTCCTGAGACACCCAAAAGGCTTCCCAGACAGCCCAAGATCCAAAACAAACTGCGATGTCCATGTGTGCGTTTGGACAAGAATTTCGAGACGAAGCCAGCCTTGGCCACGATGAGCGAGCGCTTCGCAGGCGGAAAGAAGTATCATCCGGTTGCGGAACGGGGGGTCATCGGGGGGCGGAGAGGCGGGTCATCCGTGAGCGGAAAGGGGGGTCACTGAGCGACAGATGAGCGATGTCAAGAGTGAGGCGTGGTTGTGTGGACATTCATGCCGAGGCTGCCCGTGTAAAGTCGCACGCAGGCGCGCCATTCTTCGCTTGGTCTGCCGAGCGGGCTGCCCGCATAGGCCATCGCGCAGGGTCGCTGAATCCTCGTGCTTACGACCTCGCTTTTCGTTGTCGCTCAGTTGGCTGGGTATCTCACCCAGACCTCCGCAGCTTGATTTGTTGGCCAGTTGACCCTTCCCCAGGGCCGGCTTTTTATCCCCAGCCGTTTTTTGACAGTTTTGGGGCCCAGAAAAGCTGGCACTCAGGCGCCGGAATAATCAAATTATCATATGCGATGTTTCGGCCGTCACAGCTTTGAAGACGGCCCAAGAGGCTCCCAAGACTTGCTCAAGAGAGCCTAAGACACTCCCAAGAGGCCCTCACGACAGCCCAAGAGAGGGCCAATACGGCCCAAGGGCTGCCCAAGACGGCCCAAATTAGCTCCAAAACGGGCCCCAAAAAGGCCCAAGAAGGCCCCGAGTCGCCCAAGACTGCCCAAGATGGCCCCAAAATTGTCCAAGAAGGCTCCGAGAGGCCTCCAAAAGCACTCCCAAGAGGATCCCAAGAGAGCAAGTTCGTCGCATTCTTGTAGGCGAAACGTACATTTTACGCATATGCGATTTTGGGGCCTTCACGGCTTTGAAGACGGCCCAAAAGGCCTTCAAGACTTCCCCAAGCGAACCGAAGACGCTCCCAAGAGGCCCTCCAAGATAGCCTAAGTGGGCGCCAAGACGGCCCAAGGGCCGACTAAGACGGCTCCAGGAGGGGTCCAAGAGGGGAGCTCCGACTCGAAAGTTGCAGCCGCCCAAGGAACTTCCCAGGAGGCCCTAAAAGTCCTTAAGAGGCCCCCAAGAGACCCCCAAAAGGCACACACGAGGCCCCAAGATTGTTCAAAACGGACAGGACGGCCTCCAAGAGGTCTCCCAAAGGGGTCTGGAGGCCTCCTTGCAGATCGAGGCCCGAGCGAGACCTAGAGTGCACCGGGACTTTGTAGGTTTCTCTTGCTCTCGGTGTTTCGGGCTTCCGACGGTCCAAGACAGCCCACCAGGCCCAGAAATCATCTCAAAACGGCCCAACAGGCACCCAAAGAGGGCGCCACGACGGCGCAAGGGAGCCCCAAGACGTGTGCCCCAAGACGGCCCAAGAGGCGCCCGAGATCGCCCAACAGGGCCCCAAGACGGCCCCAAGAGGGGCCCAATAGGGGGAACACGAACCGACAATCCAAGCCTTCCGCCCCAAGAGGCCGCCAGGAGGCCTCAAGAGGCCCCCAACAGTGCTCAAAATGCTTTCTAGAAGCCCCACGACGCCCCCAAAAGGCCCAAAAAGACGCCCCAAGAGCACCCCAAACGGCCCCCAAGAGGCTTCCAAACCTGCCTTCCGGAGGTGCCCGGGGAGCCGCCCACGAATTCCAAACGAACTTCCGAGAGGCCTTTGACCCACAACCCAGGCACGGTGGCGGGATGGGCCGAAGGCCACTTAATGGTCCAAGACGGCCTCCAGACGGCCTTAGAAGCCCCAAGATACCCAAGAGGCTTCCAAGAGGTCTCCCAACAGAGCTCGAAGTGGCCAAACAACATTGATTTCCATAGTTTTTTGTATCATTTTGGCGTTTCTGCCTGTTCCGCTTCCCGATGCTGCAAAACGCCCCAAGAGGCTCCGAAGATCGCCCGAAGACGGCCCAGTAGGCTTCAAAAGCGCGCCAAGCCGTTTCATGGGCTTCAAAAAAGCCGAAGAGACGTGCAAGACAGCCCGAGAGGGCTCCAACCGCGGTCCAGGATCGGAAACGTGAACCGAGGACCCGAGATCTTCGCCCCAGGAGACCCCCCAGGAGGCTTTAAGAGGTCCCCAAGAAGCCCCAAAGAGGCCCAAAAGAGCCCTGAGAGTGGCACCGAGGGCACTTCAGAAAAACGGGGATTCTAACCTTTCGTTCGCCTGGCAGTTTCGCTACGCTTGCAAAACAAGAAAACATTTAATATTTACTCCTCCTCCTCCTCTGGTTTCTCCTCTGCGGCCACCTCCACCCTCTTCAACTCCTCTTCATCCTCCTTCTCCTTCTCCCCCAGGGAACCCGGTTACCCCTCCACCTCCCCTTCTCCTCCCTGTTCCTCCGGCTATGTCCAGCCGCGGCAAGTAAAGGGCCCCCGAAGTGCCTTTTGGGCTCGTCTTAAGCCGTCGTAGGTGGACCGACGGAAACCTTGGGAGCCACTTGGGCCGTCTTCATGGTTCTTGGAAGCCCCGGAGAAGAAGTGGCATGGAGTAGAGATCCCCAAGAGTTCGACCATCCAGCCTAGCTAGCCGGGTCCCCGTGCCCAGGGGGAACTCACTTTTCCAAAATTCCCCCCCATGGCTACTCATTTTTGCCCCAGGGGTCTGGGGCCTCTTTTCGGCGCCTTGTGAAATTGTTTCGGTTTCAAGAGTCGTCCAAAACACAATTCCGGCATAAGAGCGGCCCCACAATTTCTTGGGGACGGCCCCAGACGGATTCCAGATAATCTCAAGGATGCACCCCAGGAGCGCCCCGGATGGCCAAAATAGCAGAAATTCTCGTCGGCAAACATACGTTTTTCAGCACCTGCGCTTCTTCGGTCTCAGCAGCGTGCAAGATGGCCCCAGAGGCCGAGCGCCCCAAGACGGCCCAAGAGAGCCCGCATACGGTCCAAGAGGCGCCCAAGACGGTCCAAGAGGGGGTCACTTTTCGAGCCCAGCAGGGCCGTAAGAAGTCCTCGAAAGCGACCCCCTCTCGGGCCCCAAGAAGGGGCCCGAGAGGGGGTCACTTGTCGAGCCCAGCAGGGCCCTCCTAAGAGGAGGCCCCACGTGGCCCCCAGATAGCCCCCCAGACAGCCACGAGACCCCAACGGGGGCCCGAGGACCGAGGCCCTCGGCAGTACGAGCCGAATGCTTCGGGGACTTCCGAAGGTAAAAAACACCACTGTGGGTAAAAAAACACGCACACACACACGCACGCACGCACGCACGCACGCACACACAACACAACACACAACACACACACAACACACAACACACAACACACACAACACACACGACACACACAACACACGCACAACACACACACAACTCACACACAACACACAACACATACAACACACAACACACACAACACACACACACAACACACGCACACAACACACACAACTCACACAACACAAACAAAACACAACACACACAACACACACAACACACACAACACACACACACACCACGCACACAACACACACAACACACAACGCACACATCACCCAAACAACACACAACACACGCAACACCCACAACACACACAACACACACAACACACAACACACACAACACACACAACACAAACAACACACACAACACGCACAACACACACAGCACACACAACACACACAACACACACAACACACAGCACACACAACACACACAAAACACACACCACACACCACACACAACCCACAACACACACAACACACAGCACAACACACACCACACAACAC